TATCCTCCCAGACGAGAGTGGTACCAATTAAAATACCCCGGAGGGATGGAAGGTCTGGTTGGCCGGGCTGTTATTGATCCGGAATTCGAACCCGTGACCACGCATCTGTGAAGCGCGCCACTTGCAGATTCACTACTCACAATCATGAGTCAAGTGTTGATCTGCGTCTGTTAAAAAATAAGAGTAACGTGATCAAAACTGATTAGCCCTGTAAGTTGTGCAGTGGTCCCGAGCATAATTCCTTTCTTTTTTGTGCGCGTATGGGTTCCTGCTCAGTGGTTCTCAGAGGTGGGTGAGATTTATGTTGAAGTACGTAACTACTCATATAGGTCAGCTTCTATGTCCGGAACCTCAAAAAATTGGTTCAGTAGATGATTGATCGGATCTGACAGTACGTGTGGTAGCTGTGCCTCCCATCACTGCCAACAGCTACTACAAGTACTGCGATAAATTCCCTGGCCCCTTCAATATCGGAGGGCTATCTTCAATAGTATATCATGAAATGATCAGTGCGGTGTTGCAGGGTAGTGATTCATTCGACGAGGTCGAATTTCTACAAACTGTCCCCGGAGCAGGAGCTGAAGCTCATCAATACGACTCGGACGATTCCTTCAATGACGAGGTGAGGCCGAACACAAGCTATCCACTTACTGACATTGAGCGTACAACAGAGCAATCTCATAACTGTTGTGCTTCGAAAGGGAGGTCGCAATACATTAGAAGTCGGCCAATTAATTTGCCAGTGGTGTACTTTTTGTGAGGACCTAGGAAGGCAACAATTCATACGTTATCCTTATGGATGGTTGCCTCAGGGTCATCGCTCTGAAGCAGGAAACTTGAATCAATAATCTTTTTTCAAATCTTTCCTTACGAAATAGATAAATTCAGTTTACTTCTACAACTTTCACAATTTTTTGCTTGTACATTGACTTGTTATGACCCTGGCAAAAAAATATGTAAGCGGCACTAATTGTTCCCTTTTAGGTGATACTTACTCAGTCACAACCGACGGATCCTGATGGAAAGCGACACGGTGAGATTGGTCTTATAATCTTTCCTAACAACTTTTAATGATAATTATTAAGTAGTAAGGTTACGTAGGAGGACTGCTTTCCTTATGATCCGATGGTTTTCCTATCTGACGAATCACTTGCGTGATTTTGGTGCTTTTTCATTTCTGTAGGGTAGTAGGGTAATATGTAGAAGACAAAAGAGCAAAGAGTGTTCGGTAAGCATTAGCACAGGATCATGTCCCATCCGAGACACAGGTTTTGCCTTGATAGTTGGGTAACGTTCTCTGACTTTCTCAGTGTGAACTGCTGTGGAAAGCAGCGTTTGGGCGGAGAACCCCAGGTCGAAACCCTGATCGCACCTGCCTTTGATTGCCAATCAACAAGTATTTAAAAAAGATTCAAACAGCACTCTTAATGCTGATTTATAGTAAAAGTATTAACGGTTCTGTGGGCAATGAATTCTTCTTCAGATATGCATGGACAATTCCGTGGATTCTTGAAGGACGACGGGGACGAATTTGAAAACGAAGGTTTGTTGTTTCCACTCCTTACATGAAGATTGATATTTTCGTAACTGACCAACTATAGGAGGTACTTGTCAATCGCCAGCCATTTTTGCTTGATTTCTGTTCCGTTTATAGTGGAGGCGCTGGGTCAGGAACTCCGCGACAGAGTATACAAAACGCTGAAAGAGAGGTTCGGGTTCAATTCATTCCGACATCGACAGAAAACGGCAATCACTGCTATTCTGCTCGGTTACGATGCATTTGTGCTCATGCCTACGGGTAAGGTTTATATATCCTCCTTACGGTCTACTTTATTAATGTAGGGGTCAAACATTGAAACCCTTTCAAGACGTAGCTCAAACTGGCGCCTTTGTGTCAAGCAGTATAGATAATAGCCTTATTAGTGGTGACGTAAACAGTTTCTAGATAGTACATTTTATAGGTGCTGGAAAAAGTCTGTGCTATCAACTGCCAGCCGTTTTGTCTCCCGGAGTTACAGTTGTGGTATCTCCGTTGAAATCACTTATCGAAGACCAGCGGGTGAAAATGCAAGATTTAGGGGTACGGTTCATTCTTTAGCGATACATTACTTCCATGGAATTTTGAAAACATGATGTCGATTTAAAAAATTTCAGTGGAAGTTGGAGGTGTGGGACGCGTGCGGTCGCGAAGCGGTCGGCATCAGCTTTTCATCGATGAATCACTTTGGAATTTTACCTTGTTAACTAATGAACTACCTTGCGCTATATTTGTCGGAATGTGAGTAGGATTTTCGGGAAAGGGAAAAGATTGGTTTAGGCTACTAGATTGAAAAAAATTGAAAACTCACTTACTAGGGAGTCCGAGCAAGCGATGTTAGCCGATCCGCGACCGCACGCGTCGTGGACATAGATTTTCCAACGCTGTCTACATTCTTGTAAAAGATGTCCAGATGCCACCTGCATTTAAACTACTGTTAGACTCTCTGCTAGATTTTCACTTAGTCAAGCTGAAATCTAAGGCTCCGAAAATGTTTTCAACCAGATTCCCTCTTCAGATTACTTGTGAAGCGTTGACATCAGACCTGAGTGACGACCAACAGATGTCAATTTATAACCGATTGATGCACTCTCCGCCTGATATCAAGCTTTTGTATGTAACTCCTGAGAAGGTAGCTCCTCTTACTCATTCCCTGAGAACGATGACTTCTTTAATGACTTCTTTCAGATCAGCCTTTCTTCAAAATTGGCAAACGTTTTTGTTAGCTTACATCGTCAAAACTTTTTGGCTCGATTCGTTATCGATGAAGCTCATTGTGTATCACAGTGGGGTCATGACTTCAGACCAGATTACACGAGATTGAAATCACTGCGACAGGAGTATGCTCATCCGAAGGTAAATTTTGTTATCGGATATTATTCGGTTTAGAATGATATGCAGCTGGGTTGGCACCCAAATGAGTTAGGCGTCGTCCTTGATCTTCTCTCAGGATTTTCTTACAAAGCACATGTTTAAAATAATCATGGATTATGCAATCCGCCCTCCGGTGAATTTAAGTAACTCTGTAATCAAGACGTTTAGTAAAACTCACATGCCAAGGTAAGGTAGGTGCAAAGGGTGACGGTAGTGTGGCTATGATACATTTTGAAGCATGTGCTCGGTAGTGCTTGATGATTATCGGTGAAACCTCTTTGAGGTGACTTCGGTTGTAAAATCGAAATTACTTTCCTGTCAACATTTTTCGATATTTTTAAATCTTGATCCGCCCTGAAAAGATTACACCACAGCCGTCCTTGATCGAGCATTTGGAATGCTTTCCTTGCGAGGGTGCCGAAATGAGCACGACTTGGGAGAGGCTTGGTC